TATGTACCATAGTTTGTTTATCCATTCATCTGTTGATGGGCATCTAGGTTGTTCCCATCTTTTTGCTATTGTGAACAGTGCTGCAATGAATATGGGTGTGCATATATCTATTCGTGTGAGGGCTCTTATTTCTCTAGGATATATATTCCTAGGAGTGAGATTGTGTTTTGTAGTGCTTTTTTTTTGTGGTGCTGACATTTTCTTTTTTCCTCTTACTCTCCTATGCTGAGTTCCTTTTGTTTGTGGATTTTTTTTTTTTCATCTCTTTTGTTTCTGTAGGTTTTGTTTTTACTGAGACTTCAGGCCTTTCTTCTGAGGTGCCTCTGGGTGGACATGAACTACTAAACTTTTGGTTAGTATCAGAGAACTTAATCATTTGCACCACCCATAGACTCCCCAACGTGTCTGTCAATTTGTAATACTGTGGGGGATTGTGTGTTTCTGTGATGCTAGAAGCTATGCCACCAGTATTCAAATACCAGCAGGGTCACCCGTGGTGGACAGGTTTCAGCTGAGCTTCCATACTAAGACAGATTAGGAAGAAAAACCTGGCAGTCTACTTCTGAAAAAAGTTAGCCAGTGAAAACCTTAGAATAGCAGCAGAACACTGTCTGGTATAGTGCCAGAAGATGAGAACCTCAGGTTGGAAGGCACTCAAAAGATGACTTGGGGAAGAGCTGCCTCCTCAAAGTAGAGTTGACCTTAATGACATGGATGGAGTCAAGCTGTCGGGACCTTCATTTGCTGATGCGGCACAACTCAAAATGAGAAGAAACAGCTGCAAACATCCATTAATAATAGGTACATGGAACATATGAAGTATCAATCTAGGAAAATTGAAAATCGTCAAAAATGAAATGGAATGCATGAACAACGATATCCTAGGCATTAGTAGCTGAAATGGACTGGTATTGGCCATTTTTAATTAGACAATCATATGGTCTACTATGCCAGGAATGACAGCTTGAAGAGAAATGGCGTTACATTCATCATCAAAAAGAACATTTCAAGATCTATCCTGAAGTACAACAATATCAGTGATAGGAAAATGTCCATATGCCTACAAAGAAGACTAGTTAATATGACCATTATTCAAATTTACACACCAACCACTAAGGCCAAAGATGAAGAAATTGAAGATTTTTACCATCTTCTGCAGTCTGAAATTGATCGAACATGCAATCAGGATGCACTGATAATTACTGGTGATCGGAATGCGAAAGTTGGAAACAAAGAAGAAGGATCAGCAGTTGGAAAACATGGTCTTGGTGTAAGACACGATGCTGGAGATCGCATGACAGAATTTTGCAACACCAATGACTTCTTCATTGCACGTACTTTTTTCAACAACATAAATGGTGACTATAGACGTGGACCTCACCAGATGGAATACATAGGAATCAAATCAACTACATCTGTGGAAAGAGAAGATGGAAAAGCTCAATATTATCAGTCAGAACAAGGCCAGGGACCAACAGCAGAACAGATCATCAGTTGCTCACGTGCAAGTTCAAGGTGAAGCTGAAGAAAATTAAAACAAGTCCATGAGAGCCAAACTACAACCTTGAGGATATCCCACCTGAATTCAGAGACCATCTCAGGAATAGATATGATGCATTGAACACTAACGACCAAACACCAGAAGAGTTGTGGAAGGACATCATATAAGAAGAAAGCAAGAGGTCATTAAAAAAACAGGAAAGAAAGAAAAGACCAAAATCGATGTCAGAAGAGACTCTGAAACTTGCTCTTGAATGCTGAGTAGCTTTAGCAAACGGAAGAAATGAAGAAGTAAAAGATCTGAACAGAAGATTTCAAAGGGTGGCTTGAGGACAAAGTAAAGTATTATAATGAAATGTGCAAAGACCTAGAGTTAGAAAACCAAAAGGGAAGAATACACCTGGCATTTCTTAAGCTGAAAGAATTGAAGAAAAATTTCAAGCCTCGAGTTGCTATTGAAGTATTCTACGGGCAAAATACCGAACGACGCAGGAAGCATCAAAAGAAGATGGAAGGAATACACAGAGTCACTGTACCAAAAACAGTTGGTCAATGTTCAGTCATTTCAGGAGGTAGCATATGATCAAGAACCAATGGTACTGAAGGAAGAGGTCCAAGCTGCACTAAAGGCATTGGTGAAAAACAAAGCTCCAGGAATTGACAGAATACCAATTAAAATGTTTCAACAAGCAGATTCAGGGCGGGAAGTGCTCACTTGGCTAAGCCAAGAAATTGGGAAGACAGCCACCTGGCCAACCAGCTGGAAGAGATCCATATTTATGCCTATTACAAAGAAAGGTGCTCCAACAGAATGTGGAAATTATCAAACAGTATCACCACACACTAGTAAAATTTTGCTGAAGATCACTGAAAAGCTGTTGCAGCAGTGCAGCAACAGGGAACTTCCAGAAATTCAAGCCAGATTCAGAAGAGGATGTGGAATGAGGGATATCATTGCTGATGTCAGATGAATCCTGACTTAAAGCAGAGAGTACCAGAAAGATATTTACCTGTATTTTATTGACTTTGCAAAGACATTTGACTGTGTGGATCATAACAAATTATGGATAACATTGTGAAGTATGGGAATTCCAGAACACTTAGTTGTGCTCATGAGGAACCTGTACACAGATTAAGAGGCAGTCATTTGAACAGAACAAGGGGATATGCTGCGTAGTTTAAAGTCAGGAAGGGTGTGTGTCAGGGTTGTATCCTTTCACCATACTTATTCAATTTGCATACTGAGCAAATTGTCAGAGAACCTGGGCTATATGAAGAAGAACGAGGCATCAGGATTGGAGGAAGACTCATTAACAACCTGAGTTATGCAGATGACACAACCTTGCTTGCTGAAGTGAACAGGACTTGGAGCACTTACTGATGAAGATCAAAGACTACAACCTTCAGTATAGATTACACCTCAACATAAAGACAACAGAAATCCTCACAACTAGACCAGTAAGCAACATCATCATAAATGGAGAAAAAATTGAAGTTGTCAAGGATTTCATTTTGCTTGGATCCACAATCAACACTCATGGAAGCAGCAGTCAAGAGATCAAATGATGCATTAGCCTGGCAAATCTGCTGCAAAAGACCTCTTTAAAGTGTTAAAAAGCAAAGATATCACTTTAAGGACTAAGGTGCGCCTGACTCAAGCCATGGTGTTTTTAATCTCCTCATATGCATGTGAAAGCTGTACAATGAATAAGGAAGACGGAAGAATTGACACCTTTGAATTATGGTGTTGGCGAAGAATATTGAATATACCATGGACTGCCAGAAGAATAAACAAATCTGTCTTGGAAGAAGTACAGCCATAATGCTCTATAGAGGTGAGGATGGCGAGGGGCCTGGAAGGACATCATGGTTGGTAAAGTAGAGGGTCAGCGAAAAAGAGGAAGACCCTCAATGATATGGATTGACATGGTGGCTGCAACAATGGGCTCAAACATAACAATGATTGTAAGGATGGTGCAGGACCAGGCAGTGTTCTGTACTGTTGTACACAGGGTCGCTATGAGTTGAAACTGACTCGATGGCACCTGATAGCAACAGAGACTTCAGGTGATAATATCTTGTTTTTTTTATTTGCATTTTTTACGTGTGTGCTGGAATATTTTTATATTTTCATCAACTATTTGTATTTCTTTTTTCAGTAAACTGCCTATTCTCATCTTTTGCTCACTTTCTATGTTACTGATGTGTAAGGTAGAAAATTCCTATGTTAAGAAAACTAGCCCTCGAGGCCAACTCCTCAGACAGGGATTGGACAGGACTGTGGGACATAAAGTGATACTTGTGAAGAATGTACCTCTTAGACAAGTAGATACAAGAGACCAAAGGGGCGGCTTCTGTCCAGAGGTGAGATGGGAAGGCAGAGAGAGTTAGGAGCTTGTTGAATGTTCATGGGGAATCAGGTGCAGAGGGGAGGAGTGTGCTGTCGCAGAATGGGCTGAGCGGTTGGGGTCTCATAACAATGTATGTTAAAAAAAAATTCTGTATGGGAGACTAACTTGAAATGTAAACTTCATTTAATTACAACAATAAAAAAGAAACCTTGCCCTTTTTGCAATCATAGTGTTACAAATACGTTATCTTTTGCTTTTTTACCCTAGCATATACTTTTTGTGCCAAATTTAAAAATTTTTATACAGTCAGATTAATCTCCTTCCTGGCTTCTGGATGTGTATCTCATTTAAAAAAGCCTTCCTCACTTCAAAATTATTTTCTGAAATTACTTAATAATTTCTTCTAGTGTTTTCCAGATTCCTTTTTACATTTAAATAACTAGTCTATCTGGAATGTATTTTGGGGTAGCAATAAGCTCTAAGTTTTTCTTTTCTAATCTTAGCCCTTTGAGCAATGATCCAGCTTCCTGGGAGTTCCAGAACAATCTGGATTTCTGAGGATCCTTGGGAATGTGGCTGAACCCGGCTTATTAACACACTGCTGGTTGTGACCTAGGGCCCTTAAGTCTTCTCCTGCTCACTGAGTCCTTGGTCCAGACCGAGGAGGAACCTGGTCAGACCCTCTCACCTTGAGTGTGTAAGTTTGAGGTGACCCCTCAGTGACCTGGTGCCCATTTGACTCCAAGTCACGGGTTGTAGCACTTCCTCTGTAAATTCCTCCCTGGCTCCCTTCCAACCTTCCCTCCAAGCCCATCTCTACCCAGCCCTGCTTGCTCTTCTCTGAGAAAATTTGCATCATGCAACAGCGGGAGGGCTCTTAGGGACTGCTCCACTGAGCCATGGTCTGCTCATCTGCCCCACTGCTGCTCCTGGCTGTGACTCTCCCCCTGCTGGGGTCACCAGCTGTACCAGCATCCCAACCTGTAAGTGAGAGGAGAACCCAGGGGAGGTCTGCAGAGGTGACAGTGGGCTGGGTTTCTCGGGCTGTGAGAGGCAACAAGGTGTAGGGTGAAACAGCAGGTGGAGGGGAAAAGGGCTGAAGGAAAGAGGCTGGTTTGTTACAGGATCTCTGAGAGTTCAGTCTTATTTTCCAAGATTTCTTTATTTGAGTCCCTGAGAATACCGAGTCAGAATCGACAATGGGTTTGGTTTTGGTTTTGGTTTTGAGAACACCAATGATGCCTGCTGAACTTTGGGCAAAGGCTCTTCCAATCAAGCCTGCAATTTAAAAATGAAAAGAAAAGAAAAACTTTCTAGATTTGGAAACCATTGGCCTAGAGGGCAGGAGAGAATCTGAGGAAAGTCAGCAGAGTCTAGATTAGTACTTTTTGCTCTGTTTTCCGTTTTCACCCAGGGATCTCTATTTATTTATCTCTCTATCTCTGTGTTACATTGTTGTTAGGAGCCGTAGTTCTGACTCACAGCGATCTTATGTACAACAGAATGAAACACTGCCGGGTCCTGCACCATCCTTACAATCATTGCTATGTTTGAGCCCATTGTTGCAACCACTGTGTCAGTCCATCTCGTTGAGGGTCTTCCTCTTTTTCGCTGACCCTCTACCAACCATGATGTCCTTCTCCAGGGACTGGTCCCTCCTGATAACATGTCCAAAGAATGTGAGACGAAGTCTCGCCATCCTCACTTCTAAGGAGCATCCTGGCTGTACTTCTTCCAAGAGAGATTTGTTTGTTCTTCTGGCAGTCCATGGTATATTCAATATTCTTCGCCAACACCGTAATTCAAAGGTGTCAATTCTTCCATCTTCCTTATTCATTCTACAGCTTTCACATACGTATGAGGTGATTGAAAATACCATGGTTTAGGTCAGGCACACCTTATTCCTCAAGGTGACATCTTTGTTGTTAATACTTTAAAGAGATCTTTTGCTGCAGATTTGCCCAATACAATACGTCCTTTGATTTCTTGACTGCTGCTTCCATGAGTGTTGATTGTGGATCCAAGCAAAATGAAATCCTTGACAACTTCAATCTTTTCTTCGTTTATCATGATGTTGCTTATTGGTCCAGTTATGAGGATTTTTGTTTTCTTTATGTTGAAGTGTAATCCATACTGAAGGCTGTGGTCTTTGATCTTCATCAGTAAGCACTTCAAGTCCTGTTCACTTTCAGCAAGCAAGGTATTGTCATCTGCATAGTGCAGGTTGTTAATGAGTCCTCCTCCAATTCTGATGCTGTGTTCTTCATACAATCCAGCTTCTCTGATTATTTGCTCAGTGTGCCGACTGAGTACGTAGGGTGAAAGGATACAACCATGACACACACCTTTCCTCACTTTGAACCTCACAATGTCCTCTTGTTTTGTTCAAATGACTGTCTTTTGGTCTAAGTACAGGTTCCACATGAGCACAATTAAGTGTTCCGGAATTCCAATTCTTCACAATGTTATCCATAATTTGTTATGATCCATACAGTCAAATGTCTTTGCATAGTCAATAAAACACAGGTAAACATCTTTCTGGTATTCTCTACTTTCAGCCAAGATCCATCTGACATCAGCAATGATATCCCTCATTCCATATCCTCTTCTGAATCTGGCATGAATTTCTGGCAGTTCTCTGTTGATGCACTAATGCAACCATTTTTTAAATTATCTTCAGCAAAATTTTACTAGTGTATGATATTAATGATATTGTTTGATGAGTTCTGTTGGATCACCTTTCTTTGGAATGGGCACAAATATGGATCTCTTCCAGTCGGTTGGCCAGGTGGCTGTCTTCCAAATTTCTTGGCATAGGCAAGTGAGTGCTTCCAGTGTTGCATCTGTTTGGTAAAACATCTCCGTTGGTATTCTGTCAATTCCTGGAGCCTTGTTTTTTGCCAATGTCTTCAGTGCAGTGTGGACTTCTTTCTTTCGTATCATTGGTTCTTGATCATATGTTACCTCCTGAAATGATCAAACAGCGACCAATTCTTTTTGGTACAGTGACTCTGTGTATTCCTTCCATCTTCTTTTGATGCTTACTGTATCATTCAGTATTTTCCCCGTAGAATCCTTCAGTATTGCAACTCAAGGTTTAAATTTTTTCTTCAGTTCTTTCAGCTTGAGAAATGCCGAGTGTGTTCTTCCGTTTTGGTTTTCTATCTCCAGCTCTTTGCACATGTCATTTTAGTACTTTGTCTTCTCAAGCTGCCCTTTGGAATCTTCTGTTCAGCTCTTTTACTTAATCTTTTCTTCTGTTTGCTTTAGCTACTCGATGTTCAGGAGCAAGTTTCAGAGTTTCTTCTGACATCCATTTTGGTCTTTTTTTCCTTTCCTGTCTTTTTAATGACCTTTTGCTTTCTTCATGTATGATGTCGTTGATGTCATCCCACAACTCATCTGGTGTTCATTAGTGTTCAACGCATCAAGTCTGTTCTTGAGATGGTCTCTAAATTTAGGTGGGATATACTCAAGGTCGTAGTTTTGCTCTCGTGGATTTGTTTTAATTTTCTTCAGCTTCAACTTGAACTTGCATATGAGCAATTGATGGTCTGTTCCACGGTTAGCTCCTGGCCTTGTTCTAACTGATGATACAATGGAGACGATGGGGAATCTCAATATCATCTATCTCTGTATCTTATCCATATTCACATCCATATCTGCCTGTATACCAGTTACCACTGATTCTGACTCATGTTGACACTGTAGGTGTCAGAGTAGAAGTGTGCGCCATAGAGTTTTCAGTGGTTGATTTTTTTTGGAAGTAGATATCCAGGCCTTCCTTCCAAGGTGCCTCTGGGTGGACTCAAACCTTTAAGTTAATAGTCAAGTGCTTAACCATTGTGCCACCGAGGGACTCCTTTCTATACCTATATCCACATGATATCTAGAGATAGACAGTGATCCACATGTACATGCAATTTTGAGAGAGGAAGGAGTCGATGGGAAATAATTTTCAGGAACCAAAGACAAAAGGAAGATCCTGCCTTCTGTTCATCCTTGGAGGGAATAGAAGTCCTCGAGCCTTTGGGCCCAGCCAGCTCTGCCTAGCCTTCCCCAGTGGAGCTCTAGACCCAGTCATTTCCACTCATCTAGAGGCTGTGGGCCAGGCAGTCTCAGGAAGGAGCTAAACAAAACATGTTGACTCTCCAGGTGTGCCTGCTTCCTGGTTTCAGGTGGGACTTCCAGACCCAGGTGAGGTCCCTGGGGCTGCATCCATGGCACCTCCTACCAGAAGCCACTTTCCCCTCTTGATGTGCACACTTAATTCCAGGCAAAAGGAAGAGCTTCAAAGAGACCAAGTCGCCAGACTAGCCAGGCTGGTCCCTGAGGCCGCTTCGGAAGAAGTTGCCCCTGGGAGAACCAGGGTCAGTTTCTCTTAGAGGCCTTTACTCTGTGCTCTGTTCCAGGGCCAGAGGCAGGCCAAGGGGGAATCTGAGCAGCAGCTGGACCAAGAGAGTGGAGCATCCGGTGAGTGGATTTACGGGAGGAGGGGGACCTACGAGGAGCTGGGCAGGGAAACGAGGGGGAATGGAAGGACTGGGAGAGGGCACAGGGAGGGTGCAGTGGGGGTCATGAAAAAGGATTTGGACCTGTGTCAGCCAGACCAGATCCCTGCACCAGTTCTCTATCTGTGAGACCTTGAGTAAACCGCTCATCTTCGTGAGCCTCGTCTGTAAAATGGGGCTTGCTGAAGGAGGCCGTGGAACAGGATATCTGAACATGCCATAGCTTGTTGGAGGAGGCCATGGAACAGTGTATCTGGACGTGCCATAGCTTGCTGGAGGAGGCCATGGAACCCTGTATCTGAACGTGCCATAGCTTGGGGAGGAGTCACGCCTTCCTAAGTCCTATCCGGGTGCCTAGAAAGGCTATGTGAGGAGGGACTTGTCCCATGTTCCTGGGAATGACCACATCAGTGTGGGAGGCAAAAGGGGGACTGGCCTGCGGCCTTGCAATCACTTTTTTCCAGCTGCTCTGTCTGCTCCTATAGAGTCAGTCCTGGTCTCCGTCTATGTACATCTGGACTTTTCAAAGAAGACCTGGCCACAAGAACTCTCTATGACCCTGACTCTCCCCTCTACCTATACTTCCTCATCCCCAAGAACTCTCACTGGCCTCAGCATCACGACAGGCAGGGAGGAAATCCTACTGCCCTCTGCCTCTCAGTGTCACTACTTGCTTGGAGAGGGGGCTCAGAGGTGAATGGGACTCAGGCCCCCCAGCCTCCTGCAGCCAACTTGCCTGAGATGCGGGGGCCGCCTTCCTGTTTTTCCCTGAAGAGTCCCCTGGCTCTTTCTCCCTGGCCCACCTTCCCCACCAGATAAACCCTTCCCTTCCTGCTCCATGTTCCTGCCTTCTAAGGTTTGGTGGAGGGACCAAGGGGCAGACAGTTGTGGGCCAGGACTTCCCACTGTGACCCCTAATGTCTTTACCCAGCACTGACCTGGGCTGCTTTGAGGCAGTGCCTGATGGGCAGGCTTGACTGAGGCACCTGTGACTTTGGGATTGTTCCAGATGCCCGGCCTTAGAGACTCTCAGGCATCAGGCATTTGTTGGTCCTACCTATCTGGCTGTCTCAGACAGCCTGCCATTTCTTTTTTGTGTGTGTGTGTGCCTTTTTTCTTTTTTTAAATTGTGCTTTAAGTGAAAGTTAACAGTTTAAGTCAGTTTCTCATACAAAAATTTATACACACATTGCTATGTGACCCTAGCTGCTCTCCCTATAATGTGATAGCACACTCCTCCTTTCCACCTCGGATTTCCCGTGTCCATTCAACCAGCTCCTGTCCCTTTTTGCCTTCTCGTCTCGCCTCTGAACAGGAGCTGCCCAGTTAGTCTCATGTATCTACTTGAGCTAAGAATCACTCTCTTCACTAGTATCATTTTCTGTCCCATAGTCCAGTCTAATCTTTGTCTGAAGAGTTGGCTTCAGGAACGGTTTTGGTTCTGGGCTGAAGGAGAGTCCAGGGGCCATGTCTCCTGGGGTCCCTCTAGTCTTAGTCAGACCATTAAGTCTGGTCTTTTTACTAGAATTTGAGTTCTGCACTCTACTTTTCTCCTGCTCTGTCAGGGATTCTCTGTTGTGTTCCCTGTCAGGGCGGTCATTGGTGGTAGCCAGGCACCATCTAGTTCTTTTAGTCTCAGGCTGATGGAGTCTCTGGTTTATGTGGCCCTTTTTGTCTCTTGGGCTAATATTTTCCTTGTGTCTTTGGTATTCTTCATTCTCCTTTGCTCCAGTTGGTTTGAGACCAATTGATGTATCTTCAGTGGTTGCTCGCCAGCTTTTAAGACCCCAGACGCCACTCACCAAAGTGGGATGTAGAACATTTTCTTAATAAACTTTGTTATTCCAATTGACCTCGATGTCCCCTGAAAGCATGGTCCCCAGACCCCTGCTCCTGCTACTCTGTCCCTCGAAGTGTTTGGTTGTATTCAGGAAACTTTTTAGCTTTTGGTTTAGTCCAGTTGTGCTGACTTCCCCTGTATTGTGTGTTGTTCTTCCCTTCACCTAAGATAATTCTTATCTACTATCTAGTTAGTGAATACCCATCTCCCTCCCTCCCCACCCTTGTAACCATCAAAGAATGTTTTCTTCTGTGTTTAAACCATTTCTTGAGTTCTTATAATAACGGTCTCAAACAATATTTGTCCTTTTGTGACTAACTAATTTCACTCAGCATAATGCCTTCCAGATTCATCAATGTTATGACATGTTTCGCAGATTCATCATTGTTCTTTATTGTTGTGTAGTATTCCATTGTGTGAATATACCATAATTTATCCATTCATCCATTGATGGGCACCTAGGTTGTTTCCATCTTTTTGCAATTGTGAACAGTGCTGCAATGAACTTGGGTGTGCATAAATCTATTCGTATGACGGCTCTTATTTCTCTAGGATATATTCCAAGGAATGGGATTGCTGGAT